GCCATTACAGTTGTCCTATTTCCCCCCTTCATTCCCCTCCACCCTGCACACCCCTCCCTCACCATTTCCCCCTTTAGTTTATGACCATGTGTCTCAAGTTCTTTAGATTCTATATTTCCCATACTATTCTTGCCTCCCCCTATCTATTTTCTACCTACCATCTATACTACTTATTCTCTGTACCTTCTCCCCCCTTCTCCTCCTCCCACTCCCCTGTTGCTAACCCTCCATGTAATCTCCATTTCTATGGTTCCACTCCTGATCTAGCTGTCCTCTTAGTTTGCTTTTGTTTTAAGTGTGGTTGTTAATAACTGTGAGTTTGCTGTCCTTTCACTGTTCATCTTTTTTATCTTCTTTTTCTTAGATAAGTCCCTTTAACATTTCATATAATAAGGGCTTGGTGATGATGAACTCCTTAAATTTGATCTTATCTGAGAAGCACTTTATCTGCCCTTCCATTCTAAATGAAAGTTTTGCTGGATAGAGCAATCTTAGATGTAGGTCTTTGGATTTCATGACTTGGAATACTTCTTTCCAGCCCCTTCTTGCCTGTAAGGTCTCTTTTGAGAAATCTGCTAACAGTCTGATGGGAACTCCTTTGTAGGTGACTGTCCCCTTAGCTCTTGCTGCTTCTAGGATTCTCTCCTTCATTTTAATCTTGGCTAATGTAATGATGATGTGCCTTGGTGTGTTCCTTCTTGGGTCCAACTTCTTGAGATTCTCTGAGCTTCCTGGATTTCCTGGAAGTCCATTTCCTTTGCCAGATTGGGGAAGTTCTCCTTTATTATTTGTTCAAATAAGTTTTCCACTGGTGGCTGTTCCTCTTCCCCTTCTGGTACCCCTATAATTCGGATGTTGGAACGTTTAAAAATGTCCTGAAGGTTCCTAAGTCTCTCCTCTTTTTTTGAATTCTTGTTTCTTCATCCTTTTCTGTTTGGTCATTTTTTTCCTCCTTCTGGTCCACTCCTTTGAGTCCCAGTTTCCTTTCCATTACTATTGGTTTCCTGTGCATTTCCCTTCATTTCGATTACTTTAGCCTTCATATGTTCCTCTAATTTATGACTAAAATCAACCAGTTCTGTGAGCATCCTGATCACCAGTGTTTTAAACTGTGCATCTGAAAGGTTGACTATTTCTTGGTTGCTTAGAATTATAGGCTCTGGGGCTTTGAGCTGTTCTTGAGTCATAATGTTTTGGTCTGTTCACATCTGTTATGTATGAGGGGTGGAGCCTTAGGTGTTCATGAGGGTGGGGTGACCCAGTAGCTGGGTTGTGACAATGTATGTGGGACCATGGTCATAGAGGGGCCACCCAGGTCACTGGTCTGTGATGCTATATGTGGGGGCAGGGTCAGAGAGGGACAATAGCGGTCCCCTCTGCTGCTCCTCTCCACTGGGGCCTGCAGGGTCCATCTCACTGCTCGCTCCTTCACCGATTTATCTGCGCGCGAATGTGTGACCTCAGTGGGTCTGCCCAATGCTCCACACCTGGGATTCGCCCATGGCTGCTGGTGCGCCTGGGTCGCACGCCCAGTTGGTCTGGTGGATCTTTCCTGCCCGACCCTGCTCTGCTGCTGGCTCTGTCCCTCTTACCAGTTTGGCTAAAGTGTTGGTTGTTATCAGACTTCCATATAGTTCAATTTTCTGTGGTTTGGCTGCATTTTTGTTGCTAAAACTTTGTTGTTTTTAAACTTGGTTGTGCGAGAAGGTACAGTGTTTCCACCTACGCCTCCCTCTTGGCGGAAGTCCAATCTGGTCACCTTACTTTCTTGAACCTCAGACTCTCATCAGATCATCGTCCTTCTGTACACAGTTAATCTTCTAAATTTCCTTCATTTAGAGTCTATTGGTGACAAACTTACTCATTCCATGTCTGAATGTCTGTTGCACCCTCAAATCTAAAATATAGCTTCACTGGGTACTAACATTTCTTGGTTAATATCTGTTGTTTTTCTTAGTCTACTGATGATACTGTTGCAATCTTTCTGGCTTTCGCTGCGGCTGCTCAGAAGTCAGTGAGCCTTACTGTAGCTGTATCCTGTATCGTAGGTAATCTGACTTTTCTCATCAACTGCTTCTACTAATTTCTCTGGTGTCTTGAGGAGTAGAAAGGTAGAATGACTGGTTCTCTTCGGGGCAGGTGGCTTGATTGGGAAATGTGTCAGCTAGTACTGAGAGAGACCAGGATGGAAGTTGCTCCTTCCCCAGTAGCAGAAGTCCTGAGAGGGCCGTGAAGAGCTGGGGTATAGTGGCCCCACAAAGTCATCAGGAATATTATCCTTGTTGCTTTGCCAAGTAAGCTGCAAACCCATGTACACTTCAGCCAGAAAAAAGAAGGGAATTAAGCCTGAAAGGGGCACACGCCAGTTGTTTCTCTCAAGAAAGCTTGGCCAGGACCCCCGGTCCACTCTGTCCACCTCCCTCTGGCAATCCTCAGCTCCAAGGGAGGCTGGGAGTTTGATCTTTCACCTGGTCCAGTTGCTGCTTGAGTGAAACTGGAGAATCCTGGATACTCGGCCGGCAAGTAGCAGTCTCTGCCACAGGACCCAACGCTTTTACTGCCTGAGGCTAGGCATCCAGGGAGAGACTGAAATCAGGATGATGATTTACTGGAACCAATTGTAAAGACTATGGGAGAGAAAAGGGTCAACAGCACAGAGGGAGGGTTTGGACTTCAAGAGTAGGCACATCTTCACTTGAGACTAATGAAACAGAAAACAGAGCTACCACGCCGGTATGGGGTGGTGAGACCGAGCGCTGAGGGAAGTCCTCAGGGCACACAAGTGACGAGGCCCCCCAGTGGAGCTGCTGAGTGGGGAGCAGCACGCAGAGGGCAGAGAGCCGGGCCCATCTGCTGTGTGAATGTCAACACGACCGGGAATGCGTGTTGAAAGCCACTTGTCAGAGGCTGCATTTCTGAGTAACAACCGGTCTCCATGAGCAGGACAAAACCACTTTCACCAGAACATGTTTCTAAAGTAGGAAACACAGTCACAGCACACTTCGGTGGTCAGCCTGACACAGTGGAAAAGCACTTGGTCCAAATTTGGGCTCATTATGTAAGAGAACTGAATTGAAAGCTGAAGGTAATCAATGAACCCCCCCCCACACACACACAAAAACAGTTTAGGCCTTGGTGACAGGGGACACCCTTCTAAGCAGCCCTTTCACATTTCTCATGAAGCGCCTTTCCCACCCAGTCCAACCTTCCTGCTGTACTTCCAGCCCCGCAGGGAGCCCCTGTGTGAGGGGGTTTCCCTCTGTCTGAACAACAGTCCGCACCCTTGGCAAGTGAGAGTTGTAAACATGTTTGCAATGGAGGAAGTGCACTCAACCTACCAACATTCCTTTTCTCCTCTACAAGTAACGAAAATAACGAAGAATCCATTGCATTTGACTATAGCCTTAGTGTATTCACTCCTCGAAGAAGAAGCGCTAGGCACCACTCTTGCCTGTTTTCCCTGGTCGCTATGTTTTTCAGGTGTGGACTTAGATGAACTCAATGCTTAAGTGCCAAATTGTATCACCTCTGCCCCATCGCAAATGCTCCAGATGAAATAGGAAGAATTAATGGTGAATATTGTGGGAAAGTCTTCCAGAACTACCAACCTATGGAAATGTGCAGGTTAGGTTCCAAATTACAATACTAATTTTAGGATAGAGATGCTTCTCTCTTTTTACAGAAGATCAGGTGCGTTCAGGGTGTATGGCTGAAGACAGTCCCTCTCTTTTAAATCAAGTTCAGTCAGCTGACTAAATAGCAGGAGCCTGGGTCCCTTGTGGCCACACAGGGCTCAGAAGCCAAGTCTACGGGTACCTGAGCTTTCGTTGAGCTCAAACTAAGTGCTTCAGTCAGGCCCAGAGGCAAGTTCATGAGGAAGTTTACGTACTTACATAGCTCAAAGCAGCACAGCAAATACTGAGAATTACGACTACTATGGGCTCCATCACTGCGGACACTGCTCACCCTGCCTGCAACATCCAGGCAGAGCCGTCTTCTCCTGGCAGCTGTGCAAACTGCAGCTCTTAGGCCGCTGCTATCAGTGCTCCAGCTTTTCACCTCCGTCCCCCGCCAGTTCTCCGAGTCAATGTCCACTAACAGAAAACCTGTGAGAGCAGCTCTCCCACAAAAACCCACGGAACCAGTGTTCAAGTGACAGAGCTGACCAAGCTTGTATAAGCCCTGCAGTTAAAAGTTCACAAAACAGTCCTTAAAGCTAAACAGTTACACGGAGCAGCTTTTCTGTCAGCAGTGCTGGCTCTTCTGTGTGTAGAAAAACAAATATTCACTAACAGACGATCCTGACAGACTGAACGGGTCACAGCTGCTTGTGGTTCTTTGAATTACAGCAGAAATTAATTTTACAGTATAATCTGAAGTAACTCTATACCTTCTCTGATTCATAGTTTTAAGATTCAATCCAACATTAAATACTACATCACCCAACACAAATATTAGGGAATAATATTTTTCCTAATTATTTTATTAATGTTGATTTGATAAGAAGTGAGGAATGCTAAGAGCAGTCTAGGCAGAAAAAAATATCTTGATGTGTTTTTATTAATTGATTGAGACTGTTTATCTATGTGCATGCTTACATGTTTAGATCTAAAACAAAAGAACTAAGGTAGCTTTTTTCACTAATTGAAAGTAGCTGATATCTCAACAGTTTGAGAAAAAATTTATTTTAACCTGGGAAAAATATTTAACAAAAATGGCAGTAAACTGAGATCCTTCGGTTATTGCTTTAAGCAGAGTCTTTGTTTTTATAAAAATTATCACCTATTTCTTCTAGATAGGATGAATACTAAGATTTTTTCCTATAAATCATTCATTTTGAGTAATTAATTCTATTGCTACCTTTATAAAAGAATAAACAATAATATAACTGCAGAGTTTGCAATTTTTGCACCGTATAAATTACTCACATTTAAAAAAACCCTCTATATTCCTTTTTATGTAGCTGTATGTGAATAAATAGTGAATAGTTACATAAGTGAGGAAAATGGAGACATTTGCCATACCAACAATTGGTTTTTATTTTAAGAAAATATTAATTTAAAAAGTTCTAAGAAATTCAATAGGACTCCCAGAAATGATATTTCTGAGATCTATGAGATTTGAAACATAATTATAAAAGTCTAAAAACCATAGGATTCATTCCTACTTTTTCCTTTTTAAAAGAATCCAGACGCTCTGTGACATGAGGAAGTTCAGCCTGCTACCCAGCCGGCTTGGCCTCACTCAGTCTTCCTCTTCAGAGTCGCTGCCCCTGCTCCTGGGGGCGGAGCACCGCACCGAGGACAGCAGGGCGTCTGGGATGGGTTTCTTAGGGTTTTCCTCCAGGTCCGTCTTGATTGCTCCAGACTCAGCCAGTTTCCACTCCAAGTCTAGGCAAAAAAGTAAACCTTATTATATGAAATGTTAAAGGGACTTATCTAAGAAAAAGAAGTTAAAAAAAAATGAACAGTGAAAGGACAGCAAACTCACAGTTATTAACAACCACACCTAAAACAAAAGCAAACTAAAAGGACAGCTAGATCAGGAGCAGAACCATAGAATTGAAGATCACATGGAGGGTTAGCAACAGGGGAGTGGGAGGAGGAGAAGGGGGGAGAAGGTACAGAGAATAAGTAGCATAGACAGTAGATAGAAAATAGAGGGGGGGGCAAGAATAGTATGGGAAATATAGAATCTAAACTAAAGGGGGGTAATGGGGACGGGCAGGTAGGGTGGAGGGGAATGAAGGGGGGAATAGAACAACTGTAATGGCATAACCAATAAAAAATAAATTAAAAAAAAAACAAACAAATTACCTAAGGTAGTCTGCACTGGGCCCTCACCCTCGAGTCTATCAAGATGGGTTTTTGCCATGTACAAACTACAATCATCAACATTTGATGACAATTTAATTTTAGTACCAGAATTATAAGGTATCCAGAAGAAAGGAAAAAAACCAGACCTTGAAGCAGGAAAACAAAAGTACTTTTGAAACATGCCCACACAACGAGGTCGAAAGACATATTGCCACACAGCGGGACCTATGTGGGGACCGAGAGCCTGGAGCCATCTGCTCCTGACTACAGCTTCTGAGACTGCACAATTTCCCGGGAACGAAATCAGCATGAAACACCCAAAGGGAATACTTCTCACAGTCCTGCTGACTATCTAATCATCAAATCTAATTTTAACAAAAGGAAATTCTGAAGCCTCATGTCCAGTATCTCAATCTATTAGGGTCAAAGAATAAATGACATCCTCAAACTGACACATTGGTTCCAACTAATAATTTTTTCAAGTACCAGAAAATGAAGAATCAGTGACTACCGGCTCAATTCCTGTATTTCACTCTCTTATTATAATCAGTGGAACTGCACATGGGTGGGAGACCTTGTGAAGCAAAATCAAGTGATGCACTTTACCACTGCAGAGAGGGCTGATGTAGGATCAGGGAACTGGGTGAAAGACTCTATAACAAAAAGTCTGGTTTAAAGTGATGCTCTGTTGATTAGGCACTTCCACTAAAATCAGACAACCAAATTGACTGAAGTCATACTAATTTAAAGTGCTCACAGAGATGAATAACACTAGCATTTTCAGCTCCAGGTACCTCACTTAAATGTTACAAAAACTCAACCAAGTTCTTAAAAAAAAACAAAAAAACCCAAACTGAAGATCTGAATCTTGACTCAAGAATACATTTAAACGTACACATACATTCATACCTGTAAGTATATGTATTTAATATTACTGTTCACTCATGTAGTAATCATTGTTTTAGTAAGTTCATTAATCCTCAAGACTTGTTCTGGAAATAAAAACTGTAACTACTATTGTTCATCTACCTTTCTCCCCTCATGGCACAGTCAAAAGACCAAATACGATGCAAATATGTATTTAGTTTAAAGTGGTGTAAGCCTTTGAACGCTGGAATAGTGAATAACTAATGTAACATACATGTGTGTATATAAGTATGTATGTTTATACTTTTCCCAGTTGAATATCTTCTACAGAGTTATATACAGTAGTATACAATCATACTTTAAAATGCTTTTAAAACCACTGAAGCACAGTTAGACATTATGTCAATAAAGAGATAAAGAATCTGATTTCTCAGGAAGCCCTCAGACCTCAGTCCCTCTCACATTATGTGTGTATATGTACTTCTGACACCTCTGTGTGTAACGGGTAAAAAGGAATAAAAAGATGTCCGCCAGGAGTTAGGAGGCAGAATCAAATAACATTTTAATTTAATTTAAAAGCTACTAAGACATTCAACTCAGAAAACCTTTCTACGGAGATGATTTACATATATATTTTATATATATTGCATATATATACATCTGTCCTTATATGTTCATGTGAATTAAACAAAAATGATGAGATCTTGAGCTACGACCTAAAACATTCAACTACAGGGATGAAGAAACATATTAGACATTAATACTAAATCCATATATTTTAAAGTCCACTGTGGCCTCTTTTCACTGAGAACGATTAGAGCCCGGATGAATCTGTCCCCTTTGGTCTTAGATGAGAGATTAAATGTGCTTCTTCCCGTCTCTACCATGCACTGGCCACGTCTCATGTGCCCTGGACCATCTCAAAGAGGCCCTTACCATCTCTCGTCAGGTTCATGCCACCAAACACCAGGGGTCCAATAAACTGAGCCTTGATATCACCTTCAAGATAAACAAATATTGTGGGCAGATTCCGATCAGGATAGTTGGGTATGCAGGTTGTTGAAATGGCTTTGATAAACTTGACATCGGGAAACTTCCTGGCCAGTCCACTCAAGTGCTGATTTATCAGGGCACAGAGGGGAATCCTACAAAATGGAAACAGGACACAGTGGTGAGCGGGAAAATCCTATAAAGCAGAAACAGAAGCAATTATGATTCTGCATTTATACAAAACAAAGCTCAGCTATCCTTCTACCCTAAGTAAAACCTCACAAGTGGTTCTGTTACTCCAGCCAAAAAGAATGAACATTTTTAAAGAATCTTCTATTATGTTTAGGGAAAATGAAGAACTCAAAATCCAAAATTCAATTTAATTTGACCCAAGAGTAAGTCAGAAAAACAGCTTCAATGTAAAAGATAATTGTTATGCCCGTATCATGACAGACATTCAACCTTTAGAACGTGTAAAACAGGCCAGAGAGCACTTCCTGCTCTAAAGAGCCCCACTCGGCCACGCACTCTGCGGCCGAGGACGAGGCTGCAGGTGAGAAGCGCTGGAGGGCCCTGCGCCACCTGTTATCGCAAAGGTCGCCCTTGCCACCTGTGAGAATGATTCGTGCATGGAATTTTAAAAAGCAAGAATTTCTCTAGAGGGATAATAACTTAGGAATGTATTATCAGTAAAAGCCAAGTCTTCATTGCTACACCATAACAAAGGCATTTGTGTTAGTCACAAATACTAATCTGAAAGTCTAAGGACAAAAATTAGGCATTTCAGATTTCGGCAAATCAGCAACAAAAACACATAAAGCGCCCTCCGATGTGAATTAAACCCAGGATGTTCAAGATATATATTCAAATGAGCATTTAAAGACAGAGAATAACATCACTCACCCTTGTTTGTAAAGGTGCAAGATCACCCACAAGCCCTCTCCAGCTTTGGTCACTTCCTGAACATAATCCTTTCCTGAGATCTCCAAAACTTCTCCAAATTTACTCTTCAGCTGAGTTGCTTTCCACTCAGCCAGTCTCTGCTGCCTGCACAACAGGAGGAGCGAGTCATCTCTATCTCTCTCTCACATATACACACACAGTCATACACATACACCCCACTCAGACAGCAACCTTCATAAAAGTCCAGGTTTACTTATTTACTGCATGGCAAAAGTCTAAGATCAGTTCTCTGGAATCTGAAATATTATTCTTTAATTATGGTCCTTTCCAAATGCTATCTCAGTCAAAAAGGTCATTTACTAAGGGACACACATTTTAGTGCCACACAAAAAAACAAACAGTCCCTCTGGGTGGCACTAACCTGTACATTTCAATAGCTCGTTCATCTTCCTCATTAAATTCATCTTCATTATCCTCCAATTCTTCCAAAGTCATATCTTCATAAGTTTTCACTGAATGCAGTTAAATTAGCAAAAAATCAAAAAATGTAAAAGATGAACAAACATGCATTTTTTCTTTTACTTTTCTCATAAAGATGTGCATGCAACCAAAGATTCCCAGAGCACCAACACCAGAACACAAAGTATTTGAGGTGTTATGCTAGTGCAAAGAAGTCGAGGGTGGTAAAAGATGGAACTAGTGTGTTGACATCTGAAGGCTTGACTCTCCTACCTACACACCACGGAGAGGACATGGATGAGGAGTTTCCCAAGTTTGTAAAACAAACACTGCACTTGCCCGAATCCACCTGGTCTGATCATCAAGCACACACACTATTGGGCAGATGCATCACAGTTCTGTTCCCACCCAGGAGGTGAGAGGACACCAGTGGGTGTCCTCCCACGGCAAACACAAGGACCTCCCATAACATCTGCATTTTGTTTGTATTGACATGACATAAACATGCTTTTTAAAAAAAGATTTTATTTATTCATTTTTAGAGGGGAAGGGAGGGAGAAAGAGAGGGAGAGAAACAGTAATTGTGGTTGCCTCTCGTGCATCCCCCACTGGGGACCTGGCCCACAACCCAGGCATGTGCCCTGACTGGGAATCAAACCAGTGACCCCTTGCTTTGCAGGCCAGCACTCAATCCACTGAGACACACCAGCCAGGGCTATTGCCATAAACAGTCTTGCTTCTGGCCACCAAATCAGGCTTTTGTCTCCGCATCCATCCCAGCACTACAAAGAACTGCTCTATCAACCTCAACAATGACCTTCATTTCTTGACAGATGAACAGCCTGTGATCCAACCCCACGCTGCCTCCTCTGTGAAGGACTGCCCTCTTCCACCCCCACCTGTGGCACTGCCCTCCTTTGGACCCTCTCCTGGTTTGGCTCCTTTCCTTCTTTATCTATACCTACTCCCTTGGTGACTGCACCTCATGGCTTTAAATACTGCCAATATGATGACAATTCCCAATTTAGGCCTCCAGCCCACATACCCAATGGCTCACTTACCACCTCTATTTGTCTAATAAAAATCTCAAAGTTACTATGTCCCAAACGGACTTCCTGATCTCACCTCAAACCTGCTCTAAGTCCTCATCCCTGTTAGGGTAACTCCATCCTTCCAGTGGCTGAAGCCCAAAACCTTGCAGTCATCCTAGACTTATTTCTCTCACATCCCTCAAAAGATCCATCCATCAGCAAGTCCTGTTGGCCCTACCTTCAAAAATGTCCAGATCTGATCACTTCTCACCACTTCCACCAGCACCACCACTCTGGTCCAAGCCAACGGTACCTCTTGTCTACATTTGTGCAGTAGTTTCCAAGCTAGTCTCCCTACTTCCTGCCTTGCCCAGCACTGTCCATGCTCAGGAAGGCAGCAACAGGATGGTGCTGTCAACATGGAGGACACGCCACTCTTCTGTTCAAACTCCAATGACTTCCAACTCATTACATAAAATCAAGGTCCTTATCAGAAGTTGCAAGGTCCTAAATGGTCTGACCCCCAGTTACCTCTCTGAACGTACTACTCCTCTCCCAATCATACTGGCCTCCTTACAGATTTTCCAACATGCTTTTCATTTGCTGCAGTAGCTCAGTTCACTTCCCTCAGGTCTACCCACCTGTCTTCCTAGTGAGATCCTCTGTGACCCTATCTAGAATTGTACTCCTGCAACCCTTTCAACACCCTTTCCCTGCCTTACTTTCCTATATTTCACTCATGTATCATTTATTGTCTGTCTCTCATGGCAGTGTAAGTTCCACCAGGATGGGATTTTTGTCTGGCCTGTGTGTGGCGAAAGCCCCATTGCCTATACCACCTGGCACACAGTCATCATTCAATAAACACTCACTAGATAAATGCTTTGTAACAAATCCTTCTGTAAATTAATTCTAATATGTAAACAGAGGACAAAAATACTGGCTCTGTGATCAGCAGTTCTCAAACTCTGGTGTGTGTCACAAATCCTCTGAGGCACTTGTCTAAAATGCAGATTCTTGGGCCTCATCCCCCAGAGATTCTGATTCAGTAGGAACTGGGTTTCTACAAACACCCTAGGCATTCCAATTCAGGTGATACAGCTACCTTCGAGAAAATGCTTTTCTCAGACTCCATATGAAGCTTCCCCAAATCAAGCTATTTAAATATTCTCAATATATTTAAATATATTTTCACAAAAAGAATATAGTATAAGCTCAGGAGAAAGCTCAGTCGATCTGAGCACCATCCCTGGTCAGGGTACATATGCAAATCAACCAGTGAATGAGAAAAAATGAGTGGAATAACAAACCAATGTTTCTCTCTCCCTCACTCCCTGTCTCCCCCTTCCCCTCTCTCTCTCTAAATTCAATGGATAGAAATTTTAAAGAAAAAAAGAGAGAGAATACAAACACTATACACTGAGCAAATTTCCATGACATTATCCAAAGTGAATAGCAGACCAGAAACTCAAGTCTTCAAGATATCATGTGCTTATCTAACACAAACAAGAAACTGTGGAAATGAAGGGGGCCTCTTAAGTCCCCTAATTCTACAACTCGGCAAGTTGAAGGCAGAGACATGCCGTGCCTTGGTTTGGTCCCAATGTTCATTACAGAGCTTCAATCCCTGGCTCCCTGGCTCTTGCTCAGAGGATCCTTCCACCGAAGCAGTTTAGAGGCTTAGAAAGTTGTTTCCTATCCACAAAGACACAGAACAGAAAAGAGTAAAAGCAAGCTAACCAACTGACTGCTGAAGGACTCGCTGTTCTTCCTCTTCCGCCTCCTTTTCCAGTTCACTCAAACTTTTCTTCGAGGGCAAGATGCCCTTTTTGCGTAAGATGTCATTCCACTCAGTGTCTGCGTTGGGGTCCTAAAACAGGGGGACCAAGGATACAGACCATGAGTCCACTATGGTGCTATGTAGGGCAAGGGGTCAAACAGGAAAGGTGGTAGGAAGAAAAATTCAAATTATTCTGTGATCTGTTTCTGATAAAGTGTCAAAAGACCATAGCCCCTGTGCCATTTTTCCATCTTTCCCCCCGCTCCCCCACCCCCTCACCACTGAGTAGCTAGTCTTGGGGTAAAAAAATCAAGCTTTGATGTGCAGATAGGCTTCAATGCTGGAACCAAGGCTCTGACCTGGTTTTTGTCCAATACTCAACAGATATTTACTATGTACTATATGTAAATTATTGCAATAGTAGGGAAGAGTGGTGGATGCCAGAGCCATCTACTCTGCAGTCAAGAAGAAGAGTCAGGCATTAAACAATCACATTAATATTACAAACTGTGGCAAGTGCAATGGCCAACAGGCTGCTGACCTATAGAGTCACAGGGGGGCTGAATTCCATAGAATAGGTGGGGATGTTCCTCCAGAAGATGTGACATTTAACCATCTCTGGAGGGTGAGAAGAAATCAGACATGAGGAGTGAGAACCTAGGAAATTACTTTCCAAGCAGAAAGACAAGAATGTTCAAGGGGCCCAAGAGCAGCAATACTGAGTATCTCAAAGTCTTGTGGCTGCAGTAGGGTCAGAAGTATCAGGAGGAGGAGAGCCTGATGCTGGGCTGCCAATTTCTCTAATGGCCAAACCTGAGAGAGAGAGAGCTGAGGCCCCATGGAATAGTTCACAACGGCTAACAGTTAATGAATTCTAGGTGCAGGATACATTTCTAAGCCCTTTACCTGTATCTACTTAGTTAACCCTATGAACCCTGGGACACACACATTTAGGAAGCCATGGACATGCTGCAACAAGTCAAATTTATCAGAAGCAAATGTCAGAAGGATAAATGGCAAAGTAGGCTCTTAGCTCCAGAACCCTGCTGTGCAAACACTGGTTCTGCTTAGCTTGGCAGGAACACCACTAATGGACCTGGTGTGAAATTTGTAATCAAGAAGTGCTATGGAAAGAGCCCTGGAGCTTCCTCCTCACGGTTTAAGAGGGTCTGGTTTGTGGCAGACACACTGAATTTGCAGAGGATCATCCTCTTCAGCCCCAACCCAACCCACACTAACTCCATTTCCCACTGAGCCCGAAGTCAGAATTCCCGACCACAGAGAATTCTGGAAGGCAGCAGAAGACCTTTGGAGGACGGTTCTTGACAACTTAGTTGTTGCATGTTTCTGTTTATAAAAGCATCCATTTCCATCGTGTCTTCATTCATTTTATTTCGCTTTTCTTTGGGTTTTGGTCAAATTCCCAAGACAATAAAAGGACAATGCTAGGGAATCTTGTTTTAAGGCAGAAAGTAACTGAACATAGGAGACCCCCGGACTGAGCTCTGGAAGCCAGGAGAGCCCGCCTAAACCTGAGCACCAATGTTAGGGATAAGAGTGTAATTAACCCCTCCCCCAGCTCTTAGTGAAGTCAGAAACAGGGGTTCCACCACTGTTTTAAGTTATGAGACCCTTAGGAGCGACCCTCCATTTCTCCAAACCTCAGCTTCCCGGTCCATGCACAGGGTCCATAAACACATCTGCTCACATGCTCACTATGAGAGTTAATAAGTAAGAGGTAACTTTGTCGGGCGGAATAAGATCTCAAGGAGAGGTAGCAACAAAGGACCGACATTTCAGTTGGGTGGGATATACCGAGGTAGAGACGCCCTGCCCGTAGGACCACGCCCGCCCTCCCGCACTGCGCCGGGCCTCAACTAGCAGGCTCTCCTCGGTGCCTGGGACTCTGGGCACTTCCCGTTGAGCCTGACGGGACGGCCCACCGCCTGTTTGGACTCGGCGAGGCAAACGAGCGACAGCAGCCTACAAGCCCGGCGCCCCCCAGCTTACTCACCTGCATCTTGGCTCAATTGCCCAAGCCAGGCGGGTCACAGCGCCTGGGCCCCTCAGTTTTCTCCTGCGCAAGCGCGTAACAGCAGTCCGGCCTATTCTCTCTGCCCAGGTTTCGCCCCGCCCTCCAGAAGAGTGCTGGGCGGAGCCAAGGAGCAAGCGAGGCTTCTGCGTCTGCGCGCGCGAGCGCTGGCGAAATGGGAGATTCCCGCGGTCCGTCTTTACCGCTAGTCACTTCCTCTTGCCTTATTAGGGCCGATCTTCGGCCTTAGAGCAGTAGGCTGGATGGAGGAGGTACCAGTATCTATCCAACTCTAGACCTAATTGTGCAAAAGAGGTTTATGTTCAAGAAGTTAGAAATGTTTCAGTGATGCAGTGTTACAATTAAAAATGATACAGGGTCACCTGGAGTTAACACTGTCATTTCAGCGTCGGATAAGGCTATTTATTTATTTATTTTAAAACATTTAATTTAATTATATTGGAAGAATAAAGGAAAATATATATAGAAATTTTCTTAAAATAGGAAATTTTTTATATTTTAAGGTTTTTTATTTTTTCAATTACAGTTTATATTCAATATTTTTCTGTACTAGTTTCAGATGTACAGCATAGTGGTTAGAAAATCATGTATTTACAGAGTGGTTCCCCCTGATGCTTCAGGTACCCACTTGGCCCCATACATAGTTATCACACTATTATTTACTGTATTCTCTATTCTGTAATCTACGTTTACATCTCCATGTCTATTCTGCAACTGCTTAATCCCTTCACATTTTGCACCCAGACCCCATCTCCCACCCCTCTGACATCTATCAATCTGTTCTCTGTATCTATAAGTCTATTTCTGTTTTGTTTATTTTTCTTTAGATTTCACATATAAGTGAAATCATATAGCATTTGTCTTTTTCTGACATGTTATTTAGAATAAGACCTTCTAGGTCCATCTATGCTGCGTGAAAGGTAAGATTTCATTGTTTTTAGGACCAAATAATATTCCATTGGATATATGTACCATCCCATTTTTATCCACTCATTTATTGATGGGCATTTGGGTTGCTTTCTTTTCCTGGCTGTAGTACATAATACTATGATGAACATAGGGGTGCATATATTCTTTTGAATTAGTGTTTTGGGTTTCTTTGGATATACTCCCAGAAGTAGAATCTCTGGTTCATAAGACAATTCCATTTTTAATCTTTTGAGGAATTTCCACCCTGTTTTCCTTAGTGGTTGCACCAATTTTCATTTCCACTAACAATGCACTAGGCTTCCCTTTTCTCCACATCCTTGCCAACACTTGTTGTTTGATGATTTATTGATAATAGCCATTCTGACAGCTGTAAGGTGGTATTTCATTGTGGTTTTGACTTGCATTTCTCTGATGATTAGTGTAATGTTGAGCAACTCTTCATATGTCTATTGGCCATCTGTGTGTCTTTCCTGCAGAAGTATCTATTCAGGTCTTCTGCCCACTATAATTTGGGTCATTTGTTTTTTTCTGGTGGTAAGTGATCTGAGTTCTTTATACTTTTTGTGTATTAACCCCTTATCAGTTGTATGATTAGTGAATATCTTCTCCCATTCAGGAGGTTATTTTTTTGTTTTATTGATGATCTCCTTGCTGTGCAGAAACTAGTTTAATGTAGTCCCATTTGTTTATTTCTTCTTTCGTTTCTCTTCCTTGAGAAGATAGAGTAGAAAAAGTTTTACCGAAAGAAATGTCTGAGATTTTACTGTCTAGGATTTTTGTTATTTCAAGTGTTACATTTAAGTATTTTATCCATTTTGAATTTATTCTTTTTTAAAATTTTTATTTAGTTATTTTTCAAGTACAGTTTTCTGTTTATTTCTCCCATCCCAGCCCACCCCTCCCCCATGCACCCCACCTCCCTCCCATTTCCACCCCTCTTAGTTATTGTCCCTGTGTCCTTTATACTTGTTCCTCTAAATCCCTCCCATTTTTCCCCCTTAAATTCCCTTCCCTCTCCCCTCTGGTCGCTGTCCCCTTGTTCTCTATTTCAGTGTATTTGTTTTTATTTTGCTTGCTTGTCTTTTTTGTTGTTTAGCTTCCTGTTAAAGGTGAGATCATATGGTATTTGTCTTTCAACACCTGGCTTATTTCACTCAGCTTAATGCTTTCCAGTTCCATCCATGTTGTTGCAAAGGGTAGTAGCTCCTTTTTTCTCTCTGCTGCATAGAATTCCATGTTGTATATGTACCACAATTTTTTGATCCATTCATTTACTGATGGGCACCTAGGTTGCTTCCAGCTCTTGGCTGTTGTAAATTGTGCTGCTATGAACATTGTGGTGCATAGGTTCTTTGAAGTTGATGTTTTGGGGTTCTTAGGATATAATCCTAGCAGTGGAATTGCTGGATCAAAAGGCAGGTCGATTTATTTTTCTGAGAAAATTCCATACTGTTTTTCATAATGGTTGTACCAGTCTGCAATCCCACCAACAGTGAACTAAGGACCCCTTTTCCCCACAAGCTCTCCAACATTTGTTGTTTGTTGCTTTGTTTATGATGGCCATTCTGACTGGTGTAAAGTGGTATCTCATTGTGGTTTTAGTTTGCATCTCTCTGATAGCTAGCGATATTGAGCATTTCTTCATGTGTCTCTGGATATTCTGTATGTCCTCCTTGGAGAAGTGTCTGTTAAAATCCTTTTCCCATTTTTTAATTGGGTTGGTTGTCTTCTTAGAGTGGAGTCGTGTAAGTTCTTTGTATATTTTGGAGATTAAACCTTTGTCTGAGTTATCATTGGCAAATATGTTTTCCCATACAGTTGGTTGTCTTTTTAATTTAATACTGTTTTCTTTAGCCATGCAGAAGCTTTTTATTTTGATGAGATCCCATTTGTTTATTCTTTCCTTTATATTCCTTGCTCTAGGGGACATATCAGTAAAAATGTTGCTGCGTGAAATATCTGAGATTTTCCTGAGATTCTCCTCTAGGACTTTAATGGTTTCAAGGCTTATATTTAAGTCTTTTATCCACCTTGAATTTATTTTGGTGTATGGTGTAAGTTGGTACTCAGGTTTCATTTTTTTTTGCACGTAGCTGTCCAGTTCTCCCAACACCAATTGTTGAAGAGGCTATCTTTACTCCATTTTATGTTATTGCTCCCTTTGTCGAATATTAATTGACTGTAGAGAGTTGGGTTTATTTCTGGGCTCTCCATTCTGTTCCATTGGTCTATGTGCCTGTTTTTATGCCAGTACCAAGCTGTTTTGATTACAGTGGCCTTGTAATACAATTTGATATCAGGTATTGTGATTCCTCCTACTTTGTTCTTCTTTCTCAAAATAGAAATTTGGGCTCGTTTTCGGGCTCGTTTATGGTTCCATATAAATTTTTGAAGTGTTTGTTCTATGTCTGTGAAATATGCCATTGGTACTTTAGTAGGTATTGCATTGAATCTGTATATTGCTTTGGGTAGTATGGACATTTTGATGATGTTAATTCTTCCAATCCATGAACAAGGTATATGTTTCCATTTGTTTGTGTCTTCCTTGATTTCTTACTTCAGGGCTGTGTAGTTTTCTGCGTACAGGTCTTTTACCTCCTTAGTTAGGTTTATTCCCAGATATTTTATTTTTGTTTTTGCTATATCGAATGGGATTTTTTCCTTGATTTCTGCTTCTGCTGATTCATTGTTGGTATACAAAAATGCCTTTGATTTCTGGATATTGACTTTGTAACCCGCTGTCTTGCCAAATTCATTCATTAGTTTGAGCAGTTTTTGGGTAGAGTCTATAGGATTTTCCATGTACACGATCATGTCATCTGCAAACAGTGACACTTTTGTTTCCTCCTTTCCTATTTGGATGCCTTTTATTTCCTTTTCTTGCCTGATCGCTGTGGCTAAAACTTCCAAAACTATATTGAATAGAAGTGGTGAGAGTGAACATCCTTGTCTTGTTCCTGATCTTAGTGGAAAAGCTTTTAGTTTTTGCCCATTGAGTATGATGTTGGCTGTAGGTCTCTCATATATGGCCTTTATTATATTGAGGAATGCTCCCTCTATTCTCACTTTGCTGAGTGTTTTTATCTTAAATGGGTGTTGTACCTTATCAAAAGGTTTTTCTGCATCTGTTGATATGATCATGTGGTTTTTGTCTTTGCTTTTGTTTATGTGATGTATTACACTTCCTGATTTGTGAATATTGAACCATCCTTGCATCCCTGGGATGAATCCCACTTGTTCATGGTGTATGTTCTTTTTGATATATTGTTGGATGCGATTTGCCAATATTTTGTTGAGGATTTGTTCATGGTGTATGTTCATCAGCGATATTGGCCTGAAGTGTTCTTTCTTTGTTGTGTCTCTATCTGGTTTTGGAATTAGGATGATGCTGGCTTCATAAAAATGCTTTGCTCTGGCTTCATAAAAATGCTTTTCCTTAAATGCTTTGTAGAATTCTCCTGTGAAACCATCTGGTCCAGGGCTTTTGTGTGGTGGGAGTTTTTTGATTACTGCTTCAATTTCATTTGCTGTTATTGGTGTGTTAAGATTTTCTGCTTCTTTTTCATTGAGTTTTGGAAGATTGTATTTTTCTAGAAATGTGTCCATTTCTCCTGGGTTTTCAAATTTCTTGGCATACAGTTCTTCATAGTAATTTCTTATAATCCCTTCTATTTCTGTGGTATCAGTTGCAATCTCTCCTCTTTCATTTCTGATTGTGTTTATTTGTGTCCTCTCTCTTCTTTTCTTGATGAGCCTACTTAAAGGCTTGTCTATTTTGTTTATCTTCTCAAAGAACCAACTCCTGGATTCATTGATCCTTAGAATTGTGCTTTTAGTCTCTATGTCATTTAATTCTGCTCTGATCTTGGTTATTTCCTTCCTTCTACTTGCTCTGGGCTGTCTTTGTTGTTGTTCCTTGAGTTCTTGCAGGCGTAGGGTTAGGTTGTTTGTTTGAAATGTTTCTATCTTCTTTAGGTAGGCCTGTATTGCTATAAACTTCCCTCTCAGGACTGCCTTCACTGTGTGCCATAAGTTTTGGGTTGTTGTGAGATCATTTTCATTTGTTTCCAGAAACGTTTTGATTTCTTCCCTAATTTCATTTTTGACCCATTCATTGTTTAATAGCATACCATTCAGTCTCCAT